TTATCTTCTGTATCATCTATTCACTCCTCTGCTTCTTTTATTCTCATTGTGATTACAGTCTTCTCATTCTTCATTTCAATCTGACTAGTTTTTACATGTATTATCTCTCCAGCCAGGGTTTCTCTGCTGTTTTCTTTGCTTCTTTCAAGCCCAGCTAGTATTCTTATGACTATTGTTTTAAATTCTTCTACAGATATGTTGCTTATATCTGTTTTGAGCAAATCCCTGGCTATGATTTCTTTTTCACTTTCCTTTATAGGAGAATTACTCCATCTGTTATTATGTCTACATTTCTGTCTTTTGCATGTTATGAAACTTGTTTTCTCCTCCTGAGAGTAATAGTATATGAAGGGGTCCTACACTGTCCAGGGCCTGGTGCTTCAAGAATATTGATGGTGTATTCCATGTGCACTCTGCTGTTGTGTTTTGGCTGCTCTTCACACAGGTTAGTCCACTTCAGAGTTCCTCCTTGCATGTAGTGGGGAGTGTTTTGACTTTTAACCAGATGTGCTTGGATTTGTTTGCTATGATAAGTTTTATTTAGAGAAAGAAAGCCTGATCCAAGAAAAGAGAAAATAAAATGAACAAGAAAGTAAACAAACAAAGAAGTATAAGCCTAATCCCAAAGAAAAAGAAAGAGCAAAAGAGAGAGGGGAAAAAAAAAAGCCTGATCCAAAAATTGAAAATAGGAAATAAGTCAATAAATGAACATAAAACTACTATAAATCTTTTTAAAAGATTTTATTTATTTTTTTATATATTTTTAATTTTTATTTATGATAGTCACAGAGAGAGAGAGAGAGAGAGAGAGAGAGAGGCAGAGACACAGGCAGAGGGAGAAGCAGGCTCCATGCACCGGGAGCCCGATGTGGGATTCGATCCCGGGTCTCCAGGATCGCGCCCCGGGCCAAAGGCAGGCGCCAAACCGCTGCGCCACCCAGGGATCCCGATTTTATTTATTTATTCATGAGAGACACACAGAGAAAGAGAGAGGCAGAGACACAGGGAGAGAGAGAAGCAGGCTCCATGCAGGGAGCCCAATTTGGAACTTGATCCCTGGTCTCCAGGATCACACCCTGGGCTGAAGGCAGCGCTAAACCACTGAGCCACCCAGGCTGCCCTATAAATCTGATACAAAAAAAAACTAAAAATGATTTGAAAATTAAAAGTAAAATAGGGATGCCTGGGTAGCTCAGTGGTTGAGTGTCTGCCTTCGGCTCAGGGCATGATCCTGGGGTCCTGGGATTGAATCCTGCATAGGGCTCCCAGAGGGAGCCTGCTTCTCCCTCTTCCTGTCTCTGCCTCTTTCTCTGTGTGTGTCTCTCATGAAAGAAATGAAATCTTTAAAAATAAGTAAATAAAACGAACAAGGGGTAGTGGAAAGGGAGGTGGGCGGGGTTTGGAGTGACTGGGTGACGGGCACTGAGGGGGGCACTTGACGGGATGAGCACTGGGTGTTATGCTATTTCTTGGCAAATTGAACTCCAGTAAAAAAAAATTAAAAAATTAAAAAAAATTAAAAAATGTTTAAAGAAATTCTTATTTATTAAATAGTTTTAACAAAATTAAAAGATAAAATAAAATAAAATAAATCTAAGACTTTTTTTAAAGCAAAAAAAAAAAAGAAAGAAAAGAAAAGCCTGGTCTTATTTCCACCAGAACTAATGCTGGAATGCTGGTGCTTTGGAGCACTCTATGATCAGTGGTCTTTTTTTTTAAAACCTATTTTTTTAAAAGATTTATTTATTTATTCATTCAGAGAGAGCGAAGAGAGAGGCAGAGACACAGGCAGAGGGAGAAGCAGGCTCCCCGCAGGAAGCCCGATGTGGGACTCGATCCCGGTCTCCAGGATCACACCCCGGGGTGCAGGCGGCGCTAAACCGCTGCGCCACCAGGGCTGCCCTTAAACCTATTTTTAAAGATTTTATTTATTTATTTATGAGAGACACGGGGGAGGGTGGGGCAGAGACACAGGCAGAGGGAGAAGCAAGCTCCATGCAAAGAGCCCCACGTGGGCCTTGATTACGGGTCTCCAGAATCACACCCTGGGCTGAAGTCAGCGCCAAACCCCTGAGCCACCTGGGCTGCCCTATGATCAGTAGTCTTGATGCATGCAAAGTCTTTGTGTTGGTTTTCTGAGGCTGGCTCACAGTCAGACTTGCCCTAACAAAGAATTCCCTTCCAGGTGCAGTTGGGCAGGGTTTGGTGTATATAACTCTAGCCTCCCCTGCTGTGCTTCTCTCTGAAGTCTGACTGTGTTGGGGGGGTGTAAGGAACAATGGAAGATGGCATCACTCCACCCTCTCATCTCCAGGGAGGGGAGCTCATGGCATCAGCTATTCAAGAGAAGAAACAGAAAAGTTAACAATATTCTCCCCTGGGTCGCAGTCTTTCATCAGATTCCTGCCCTCAACCTGTCTGTGCTGAGCCTTCAGTACACCCTATGCCACAGTTCTCCTGTGTTTGATCTCTGGCTGGCAATATGGATTCAAAACAACAAATTTCAAAGTACCTGGCAGCACAGGGACCTGCCCCCTTACTCTGGAGGGGAGCCTCACAGTACTGCATTGGGCATTTTTCTGTCCCAGAAAACCAGTTGCATGCCTGTGCAAGTGCCTGGAGTCTACACCGAAACACAGCAAAAAGCTGCTACTAGTTTATCTGTCCCCCTGCTCACTCCTCTATCCCCTGCTGTTGAATGGCCTCTCAATACAGCCTGGTGGTTTTTTTGTCCTTGCAGAGACAAAATATGCTCTTGCAAATGCTCTTCAGGAAAGGGAATGTTCTCTTCTCTTGCAACCCAGGAGATCCCCACATGAAAGCACTGTGGTGAACCCTATGCACTGCTGTCTGTCCCACTCTCTCCCTCTATCCCTGACTTTGCTCTGTGAAAAGGGTTCCCACCCTTCTGCAGCACTTCTGCTTCTATCTCTCCCAATACCTGTCTCCAAACCTTATATCTGCTAAATTCTTTCCCTCTAATTGTGCAGATTGTTCTGTTAATCCTCAGATCAATTTCCTAGTTGTTCAAAATTATTTGATATTTGGACACCTGAGTGGCTCAGTGGTTGAGCATCTGCCATTGGCTCAGGTCATGGTCACAGTGCCCTGGGATTGAGTCCTATATCAGGCTTCCTGCAGGGAGCCTGCTTCTCCCTCTACCTCTGCTTCTCTCTGTGTGTCTCTAGTGAATAAATAAATAAAATTTAAACAATGATTTGATATTGATGTAGCTGTGTCCGAAGGATAAGGCAAACCCAGGGTCACCTTACTACTCCACCATCTTGACTCCTCCTCCTTTATGCAATTTTTAAATGACAGCCAATTATTCCACTTAAGAGAAAGATAGTAAATAAAATATGGGATGTGTTAACAAAATAAAAGGTCTTATCTCTCTGTGTGTACATGTAAAGATAGGACATAATTATAGTAGGCATGATGGAGCAAATACAGCATCCATAGAGGAGTAGGGATGACAGAAATACATAAAATAAATAGATATAGAGAGATATTCAGTGAGCTAGTGGGAATAGTCCTTTGGGCAGTTAATTGTGACCTTAAGTGCAGAGAAAGTCTTTTTCAAAAAGTAGTACATTATTCAAATGAGGTAAATAAACCAAAAATGTTCCCTGATAAATGAACATAGAAACAGATGCAACAAACAAAAGAAATAAATCAAATATATGAATTGTATGTTTGTACGCTGGCAGATTAAGATAAAATATAAGGAAATATCCCCTAAATTAACCGGAACACTTACCTCAATGCTTTTCCCTTGAAATTATTTTTCCTCACTATTAACATGTATCCTCCTACTCAAAATGGATTTTATTGTATATGCATACATACATATCTTAAGTGCAATTCAGTACATATACATGTACTTTCTTTTACTAAGAAAGGTACATAGGAGTAATCTTAACATTTTATTCTCTCATTAATTCATTAAGTTTCCTAGTGACTCAGTTAAATGTAGGCTATAAGAATGAACCTGCATTTTACAAAATATTGCAACAAAACTTTGGTTTCAAAATAATTATGTAGGAGCCAAGCCCATGACACTCCTTTTACTCTTACCACCATAAGTTAAGTACTATATTTACTATGCTACTGGGGTGAATTACCTGGTCAAATTTCTGAGTATTAAACAAACCATAGATCACTGGGATATGCCTTATTTCCTAATATATAATCTCACCATTTTAGATTGTTAGATTTGATTTGATAATATTTTAAAAGGGCTTTTTGTTTTCATGAGGGCTAGTGCCTGTAGGTCTTTTGATTCCTTTTTTTCTTTTATAATATATTTCCTGTTTTTTAGTGTCAAAATAATGCTGGTTCCTTAAATGAATTGCAAAGAATTCCTCACTCATATTTCTTGAAAAAGTTTGTGTAGGATTATTACCATTTATTTATTTATTTATTTATTTATTTTTAAAATTATTACCCTTTTTTATTAAAACATTTGCTAACATTTACCTCAATACCATATGGGCTTTATGTTTTCCTTGTGGGAAGATTTGTAACAAAAATGTTAATTTCTATAATAGTTACAAAACTATTCAGATTGTGTATTATCTTCTCGATAGAGCTTTGACAGGTTGTGTCTTTCAAGGAATTTGTATATTTCTTCTAAATTGTCCAATTTGTTGGAAAAAAGTTGTGTATAATTATTCTAATTATTTTTTACTGTCTGTAGGATCTGAGGAAATGGATGCTCTTTTGTTCCTGATACTGATGATTTTTTGTTCCCTATATTTTTCTTGATAGGTCCAGCTAAGAGTATATCAATTTTATTAGTGATTTCAAGGAACAAGTTTTGGGCTTGTTCATTTTCTTTATTGTTTGTTTACCAGTTTGTTGAGCTTTATTTCTTTCTTATTTCCTTCTACATGCTTCAGGTGTAATTTGCACTTATTTTATTAGCTTCTTAAAGTAGTATCTTTAAGATCATTAAGTGTAGTCCTCTCTTCTTTTCTAATACAATAATTTAAAGTTACGCCATTTCCTCTGAGTACAGTTTTAGTTAGTTGAATTTTCTTAACTTTGATATATTGTATTTTTACTACAATTCAGTTTAAAATACTTGCTGATTTACTTTTTTAAATTTCCACTTTGTCTCTTTAAAGTATATTATTTTCTCCATATTGTGATTTTTCTACATCTCTTAATGCTATTTATATTTTAATTCCATTAACATCAGCAAAAATATTATATGTGCTTTCAATTATTTTAATTATATTAATATTTGCTATGGTCCCAAATGGGGAAGATGGTGGCAGTATAGTAGGACCTTAGGCTCAACTACTTCCATGAACACAACTAGATAACTATCTAATTGTTCTAAATATCCCAAATATCAACCTGAACTCTGATAGTACAAACACCAAAACTAAAGGGAGAGAATAGACCACATCAAAAAAGGTAGGAAATACAGAGATATGGTTTAGGGGAGAAACACATCACAGGTGCTGTGGAGGTGAGGGAGCTCTGGTCACAGAAACAGGCAAGCAAGAGTACAGCAAACAGTGGAATGCATAAAGAGAATATTTCCCCCAAAGCCATTGGCTGGGAAAATAAGAGGGACTGATTTTTGTGAGTGCTTCCAAGAGTGGGGGGCTTACTTCCTGATGTTTTAAATGTAAGTAGTCTTGGCTGGGAGAAAACCCTGAGGCCACCGCCCTGCTCCTGAGGGGAAGGCAGGCAAACAACCCAGAGGCATACAGTGTGGAAATAGTGATCTGAAAAATGTCTAGGATAAACAGGGAGATTATTCATTCTTCTTGGATTGTTTCCATGAGAAGTAGCATTCATTGACAAAGGAGCCAGCCTGATCCATCCCCCACCCCCACCCCGCACATAAACAGAGAGCCACCTGCTGGAAACAGCACAGCACTCACACAGCTTACCGAACTTACTTACACCAAGTCCCACAAACTTGCATGCTGGTGGGATTGCCTTTCTCAGTCATGCTTGCCTCAGTCCCAGTGCAACAGATTCCTCCCCTAGAAGACCAACACATACCCATGCCCACATCATATCTCCCAATCAGAGTCTGGCAGGGCTTTCAGTTCCAGTGGAAATAGTACCAGGTAACACACAAGAGCACACTAGTTAAAACTCCCACATCCTGGCCAAGGACCAAACATTGCCCACTGCAGGCAAGGAGAGTCTCTACACACGACTGACTTGGGAGATAGAGCAGCACAAGCACAATAGTAGAGTTCATGCAGCATATGCCAGAGACACTCCCTGAAGCACCAAGCCCTGGACATTATAAGACCTCTTCTTCATAAAACCATTATTCTCAGGAGCAAGAAGAGTAAGTAGCTTTTCTAACACAGAGAAGAAGGCAAAGAATTAGACAAAATGCCAAGACAGAAGAATCTATATTAAATGAAAGAATAAGATAAGTTCATGGCCAGAGACCTGAGCAAAACAGATTTAAGTAACACACCTGATGGAGAATTTAAACTTGAATCATAAAGATACTCACTGGGCTTGAGAAAATAATGGAAAACATCAGGGAGACCCTTACTGTAGACATTAAAGAGTTAAAAAAGTCAGAAATGAAAAATGCAAAAAAATAAAAAAAGAACAAAGAACTAAATGAAGAATACAATAAATGAGATTAGAATCAGGCTTCATGAACTGAGCAGAAGGCTGAACGAAGTAGAGGAATAAATAAGTGATATAGAAAACAAAATAATGGGGAAAATGAAGCTAAATAAAAGAGAATAATTACAGAATATGAGAATATAATTAGGGAAATCAATGACTCCATCAAATGTAATAAAAATCATACAGGAATCACAGAAATAAGAAGAGAAAAAAAAGGGAGGCAGAAAATGTATTTGAGGAAATTATAGCTGAAAACGTCCCTAATCTGGAGAAGAAAACAGACATCCAGATCCAGAAGGCACAGAAAACTCCCATGAAAACCAACAAAAGCAGTTCAACAAGAAGACATACTGTAATTAAATTTCCAAAATATAGTGATGAAGAAAAAAATCTTAAAAACAGCAAGACAAAATAAGTCCTTAACTTACAAGGTAAGAACCATAAGGCTGCCTGAAGATTTCTCAACAGAAACTTGGCAAGCCAGAAGTGAGAATGATATATTCAAAGTGCTGAATGGGAAAAATCTGCAACCAAGAATACTCTATCCAGCAGGGCTTTCACTCAGAATATAAGGAAATAAAAAGAGACTCCCAGACAAACAAAAACTAAAGGAGTTCATGACCACAAAAGCAACCTGCAAGAAATATTAAAGGGTACTCTATGAGTGGGAAAGAAAGACAGAAAGAAACAAAGACTAGAAAGGAAAAGAGAAAATCTCCAGATACAACAACAAATCAAGTAATAAAATGGTAATAAAGGCATGTTTATCAATGATTACTTTGAAAATGGACTAAACACTGCAGTCCAAAGACATAGGGTGCCACAACAAATTAAGAAAAACTGAGTCATCTATATGCTGCCTATAAGAGACTCATTTTACTTCTAAAGACATGTACCAACTGAAAGTGAGAAGATGGAGAAACATCACACAGATTGATTCAAAACAAAGCTAGAGTATAAATATTATGTCAAACAAACCAGACTTTAAAGCAAAGACTGTAATATGAGAAAAAGAAGGGCATCATATCATAATAAAGAGGACAGTTCAACAAAAGGATTTAATAATATAAATATTTATGCACCCAAATTGGGAGCACCAAAACATATAAAACAATTAATAAAAACATAAAAAAACTCATTGATAACAATGCAATAATAGTAGAGGATTTCAAGACCCCACTTATATCAATAGGCATATTATCTAAACAGAAAGTCGACAAGGAAACAATGGCTTTGAATGAGACACTGGACAAGATGGACTTGATAGATATATTCAGAACATTTCATTCTAAAGTAGCAGAATACACATTCTTTTCTAAATAACATGGGTCATTCTCTAGAAGAGATCACATAATAGGTCACAAAACAGGGCTCAACAAATACAAAAGAATGAAAATTATACCGTGCATATTTTCTGACAAAAACGCTTTGAAACTAGGAGTAAACCAAAGAAAAAAATCTAGAAAGACCACAATTACATGGAAATTAAGTAACATGCTACAGAACAATGAATGGGTCAACCAGGAAATCAAAGACAAAAATAAAAAAAAATACATGGAAACAAATGAAAATTAAAACACAGTGATCCAAAACCTTGGGATACGACAAATGAGGGAAGTATATTGCAATACAGGGCTAACTCAAGAGGCAAGAAAATCTCAAAATGACTACCTAACATTGCACCCAAAGGAATTAGAAAAAGAGCAACAAACAAAGCTTAAATCCAGCAGAATGAAGGAAATAATAAACATTAGAGCAGAAATAAATTATATAGAAAATAAAAAGAAAAATAGATCAATGAAACCAGGAGCTGGTTCTTTGAAAAAAAATTAATGAAAACTGATAAATCTCTGGCCAAACTTAGTGAAAGAAAAAATAAAGCACCCAAATAAATTAAATCACAAATGAGAGAGGAGAAATAACAACCAACACTATATAAATACAAACAGTTCTAAGAGAATATATGAATACTATAGGCCAAGAGATTGGATCACCCAGAAGAAATGGCTAAATTTCTAGAAACATATAAACTACCAAAACTGAAACAGAAAGAAATAGAATATTTGAACAGACCAATAACCAGCAAAAAAATTGAATTAGTTATTAAAAAATTCCCATTAAAAATATTCCAGTGGCAGATGGCTGGGCTGCAAGTGTGTTACAATATTTGCAAATCACAATATGATACACTTCATTAATAAAAGGAAGTTTAAGAAGCATATGATCCTTTCAATAGATTCAGAAAAATCATTTGACAAAGTACGACATCCATCCATGATGATGACTCTCAACAATGTAGGGATAGAGGGAAAAAATCTCAACATAATAAAGGCCATATATTAAAAATCCACAGCTCATATAATCCTCCATGGGGGAAAAATGAGAGCTTCTCCCCTATGGTCAGGAACAAGACAGAGATGTCCACTCTCACCACTGTTATTTAACATAGTAGTCACTTAACGTAGTCCTAGCCACAGCAATGACAAAACAAAAAGAAATAAAAGTCATTCAAATTAAGCAAAGAAGAAGTAAAACTTTCAGTTTTCAGATAACATGATACTCTATACAGAAAACCTGAAAGATTCCACCAAAATTTTGTACAACTGATAAAGGAATTCAGTAATGTCACAGGATACAAAATCAACATACAGAAGTTAGTTCAATTTCTTTACACCAATAATGAAGCAGAGGAAAGAGAAATTAAGAAATCAATCTCTATAATTGCAGTCAAAACAATAAAATATTTAGGAATAAACCTGACCAAAGAGGTGAAAAGCCTGTACTCTGAAAGCTATAAAACACTGATGAAAGAAATTGAAGATGACACACAGAAATGGAAAGACATCACATGCTCATGGATTGGACATTGTAAAAATTTCTATACATTATGTACCAAATCATAATGTACCTAGAAATAAATCTAACCAAATATGTGAAAGACCAATACTCTGAAAACTATAAAACATTGATGAAAGAAATTGAAGACGACAAAGAAATGGAAAAGGTATTCCATGCTAATGGATTGGAAAAACAAATATTGCTAAAATGTCTATGCAACCCAAAGCAATCTACATATTTAATGAACTATCAAAATACCACCAGCATTTTTCACAGACATAGAACAAACAATTCTAAAATTTGTATGGAACCACAAGAGACCCTGAATAACAAAAGCAATCTTGAAAATAAAATCAAAGCTGAAGGTATCACAATTCTGGGCTTCAAGTTATACTACAAAACTTTAGTATCAAAACAGTATGGTTTTGGCACAAAAACAAACATATATCAATGGAACATAACAGAAACCCTAGAATGGAACCAACAACTACATGGTCAATTAATGCTTGAAATACCAGAAAAGAATGTCCAATATGGGGGTGGGGG